ATTAAGGGCCAGTTTCCCTCCTTTGATATAGGATGGGGAGTAGGCACTCGGTCCTTGACTAGTTTCTTGGCCGACTGACCCATGTTGGAGCTAGCCGTCCTTTTATTGATGAGGTCCTTTATTTCCCCTTTGAAACTTGTCATGAATTTCATGAGTTCGTCTAGAGTAACTGGGGTTGCGGTATCTGCCGCCTGGGGTTGTCCTGACGACTGTTCGGATGGCTCACTTAGACCTACTTGATCATTGCCCCGTTCCTTTATTTCCAAGGGACGGGTGCGTCTGGTTCTGAGTGACCTGTCTGCGGCCACATAGGTTTTGACGTTAAAGTCGACACCACTGTCATGGTCTGAATAGACCTCAACTTCGACCGTTAGTCGTTTCTCATTAGGAGGCGGTACAGACTGATGTGAAGCCATCTTAGAGGTACTCTCCCCATAGACGGCGCCAAATGTTTCGGGGTTTTCTGTGTCCCTCGGGAGAGTTACAACACCAAGACTGGACTTCATGCATCTGTACCTGCAGAACAACGGAGACTCCGGTTAGGAGGAGTTCCGCCTCCGACGATCAAGTTAGAACGTGTATGGAGAATGTAAAAAGTGCGGAATGTAAAGTGGTATCTTCTCGGATTCCGAGATCAGGTGTTCTCTGATGTGAGAATTAAGTCTCTAGCAATCATTGACTGCCTCAATTTCTGAGTTTCTCTCTTTCTGATCACTGTCTTCTGTTCCCTAGGTGGGATACATCTCCCTTTTATAGGGTCTTGGGATGCGTGCCCCCATCCTAGGTTACAGAGACCTAGGTCCAACGGGCTGTCTAGGAATTTGGGCCTTAAAGGCCGCTAATCCTACATGGAATATCTGTCTGCCATGTGTCGAGCCCTGGTAGGTCCATTTTGGGCTCTCCCTAGGATAACACGTGTTAGACTCTAATTGGTCTACATGGCAGGGTATAAATACCCAAATCAGATGGTGTTACGTGTGTTAATTTCGAAATTGATAATCATATCGGCTAATCAGATCAAACAAAGGAAGTATATCTAGTCATGCCAATTGATCTAAGGTTGCTTGATACTCAATTTCTTTAATACTAATCATAATTATATCCTATTTGATTGTATCTAGTTCACTCTGATCTAATTTGAGCGCGCGTTTCTAATATTATTATCTTCTTTATATATTTGAATAAACTTTGACTTTATTTTGTATACCAATCATTAAAATAAAAAACACTATTAAATGAGATATCATTACATTCATATTAATGTGCGCGTATTTTCAAGTGAACTTGTCATATTTTTTATATTCTAGATTTAAAGATATATAGCGATAAGTAAATGCAAATAAAAAGTAATAATCTAATTTTATCAGATTTGATTTAATCATTTCTAATAAGCTAATACTCCATTTTTTTTTGGGTCCCATTTTGACCGGTACATTTGTCAACACGTTACTTTGACCAATAATATCTTTAGTTATCAATATGTATAGATTATAAAAAGTTGATATTTGAAAACTATCACTGAGATGATTCTAACAATTACTCATATTACTATATTTAATTTTATGTATAAAGCATAAACATTGGTTAAAGTAATATATATGAATAATACAAAAATCAAAATGGGACGCTAAAAAATAAACACAGTGAGATATGATTAATTAAGTTGAATTGAGCTTAAATTTTCTATTATCTTTTGTATTCTAGATCGATTTAGGATAAATTTTAGAATACCTAACTCTTGTAAGAGAGTTAAGACTCTATAGTACTCTTTATAAAGGGGTCACGAGTCTAAATATTTCGTATGCACAACAACGAACGGGGAGATATTACAATCCCTCTTAAGTTTCTAGATAATTATTAGAGTTCTTAAGAAGCAAGGTGATAAGCGCGCGATGGTTGTCGGATTTTTTTCTCAACTAGTTTTTGAGGGGTTTAGCATGTAAAATATCACTTGATAATCCCGAGCCATGCTCGTTTTTAAATTATTGATAATTGAAATATAGAAGTTTTTAGAGAAATACAAAATATAACATAATAGTCAATCAATTATAATAATAGTCTTCAAAAAAAGTCATAGTAATAAATAGATATAGTGAATTTCCTAAACAAATTAATACTTTAAAAAAATAAAAATTAGAGTTTAGGAGGGAAAATTCCCTCAAAAAAAACTACTTGTATGTTTTAGTATAGAGTAATAGATTTGTCATTATCTTTTGAAAATATTGTAAATAACCACCCCTCAAAACACCCTATTTAAAACTAACCACGCCTTTTTTTTTATGAAATTATAAAATATCATCCCTCGCTCCAAATCAAAAGCGTTAGGTTTCACAACATCTTAATAAAAATTTCTATACCTAAGCTAGATGCGTACAAGTAAAGAAAATGAAATAATTGGACAAAGCTAAATTAAAGCAAATGGACCAACCATAATTGTAAAAAGAGTGCATGGATATGGTCATATGGCTACTTAAAGCACTAATATCATGTAATTAAAAAAGATAGTTGTCTCAGCAATCTTGTATTAAGACTAATATAGTTACAGATGATCTATGTTGCCAGCTGAATGAATTGTACGATACAATCACTAATATTATAATGTCTCTTTAATAATTTTAGTGGTAGAACTTTAATCAATTTATGGTCAAATTTGTTTGTGCATTGAGCAAATTGTTTCATTTAATCATTTTGAGGACCAATCATAAAGATTTTTCATTATTAAATTAAACTTTATGTAAAGCATGCTCCTTAGACCAATAATCATGTAACAATTTCCCACTAACAATCTTTTTCCGTTACAAATTGCTAAAAGGGAAATAATATCTCAATCCAATAATCCCGTAATTTTGAGAAGTATTTTCTTATTATTTTCTAAAAAGGGTTTGGTAATTTATTTAATTAATTGAATTTTGGAGCCAAAATGATATTAGAATTTTGGCGCCAAAAATATTTTCAAAATCAATTATCATATTGAATTTTGGATAAGATTAATTATCCATTTATATATATATATATATATGTATGTATGTATGTATGTATATATATATATGTATGTATATATATATAGTTCGGATATTTTAATCATCAAAAATATAATTCTTATTTTATTAAATTAAGTCTGAATTTCCTAAGCTAATTAACTTAGTATTTTCAGATTTTCTATGCATTATAAAATCTATTTTTTCTAGTTAATTAGGTTATAATAATTAGGATATTTCCTATTTTAATCTTTCAACAAAAATCAAAAATTCATTAGGCAATTTTCGGATTTTTCAAAGCTAAATAATACCTATTTAATAAGCTAAATGGACAAAAAATAATTAGGCATTATTTGCTTAAGAAATTTCGACCAATTAGACATAATTAAGTAATTGTTTAGATTTTTGTAGATAAATATTTTAATTAAATCTTCTTATTTTCTTAAATCTTCCTATTCCAATCTAGCAAATATATGACCATGAAATGTCTTGCCTTAATTGCCTCTTAATTATTCTCCAAGCAAGCATATTTACCTTCTTTAATTTCATGATGAAACATGAAATTAAAACTTGCCATAATTCTTCATTTGCGTAATCATCAATCTCACAATTCCTTTAAATTTAAGCTCAACTCTTCAAGTAATTCCATAAACCAAAATTACCTTAATTCTTCTTACAAATGTTGTCTTAATTCCTACATTCATAAGCTTATAAATACCCCTCATGCTAATGCAAAAACCCACACAAAAACCTCACAAAATTCTCCCTTTTTCTCTCTTATTTCTCACGGTTTTTTCTCCTCCTTTCCCTCAATTTTTGCTCCGAACACCACCCAAACCGACAACTGCCACCACCTCCGACCAACAACAACCACCTGGCAATGTGCTGCTGTCGGTCCTGCCGCCTACCGCCATCCTTCTTCTCTTCTTCTTTGGTTTTACATCCTTCTTTCTCTCTTATTCTAATTTGTTCAATTATTATTATTATGGTTTTACACAAAATTATTATTAGTGTAATAATTAAATAAATTCATAAAATTATTTAAGGTTATTAAAAAAGAATTGTATTTCTTCATGTACATAGAATTGAGAATTTATTTTAGTTATTTGTGATTATTTGATGACCTTATATTAATTAAAGTTATATTTAATTATTTGTAGGGTGTCCGTGGTGAGAGTGCTTGAGCTCTTTTGTTTTGTTGCTAAAGCGAGGAAGCAAGGTACATTTAGGTGGCTAGATATTTTAAAGTGATTGATTTGATCAACATATTTTTATGTGAAATTAATGATTTTTAAATTAAATTGAATACTATGATTTGTGAAATAAAGTATGTTTGAGGAATTAATCTTAATGTATGTTTTAATAAACATATTTGAGGAATTAATTTTGCTATCATGTTTTGAATAATTTTATTAAGGATTTTTTGTAAAGAACCACCCCTCAATACACCCAATTTTGAAACAACCACCCGTTTTGTTAATATTATAAAATATCACCTTTTTTCTCAAAAGCATCAACTCTGTGAAGTATTCAAAAAAGAAAAGAAAGGTGTAGTCGATGTCCTCTTTCAGAGTGAACCCCTTGGCGACAAGCACACACCTTATGGCGGCGATGGTATTCCCGGCATTGATTCAGGTCAGAAGCACACCCATCAACTGAGCAAAAAACGGTCTTTTTGGCTCCGCTGTTGCGCGGCCTCCCCCTCTTTGAAAGCGCTACCGGTGAAGAAGAAGAGGAACAATGTCCTTTTATGTTCCTATTCAATTCTTCCTATCCTAACTTTGGCAAGGAAAGAAAGCTCTTAGCGCACAAAGCAAGCAGTGAAGGAACGACATGGAGAAAGGTGTGAGTAATGAAAACATATAACAAGTAAGAGAGCTCAGAGAAACAGGGTTTGACCTTTTTTTTCAAAAAAGAAAAGTAAGCATCAAAGCCCACAAGTTCCTTGCCCTGTTCATCATATCATGAAAGAGCGCAGTCATGGCTCGCTGGTACGTCGCCCCGGCATTCTTTAGACCAAACGGCGGGGTAGAGTAATTGGAAAACTCATTAGGCTCATGCCCTGAAGATTGCAGGTTCGAATCCTGCCCCCGCCTAAGAACTCTTTTTTCATTTTAGGTATAGATGGTACTGGACAAGCTCTTAGGGACTTAGCAGAGTCCTGTGTTTTTAATAAACAGTCGCTACCCCCTGGTATGTGCCGTTTTCCTAATCAAAAGATAGGAGAGCACCCCTTCTCCCGAAGTTACGGGGTCATTTTGCCGAGTTCCTTCGGGACAAGCAGAAGAAGAAATAGACTGGTAGCGCTAACGACCTCCATAGCATAAGGGGGAAGAAGTAGACCTTTCTTCTGATCAATCAAGTGCCCTTCCCTCTGATTTGGAAAAAGATGATCTTGCTTGGGCCGCTGAAGAAGAAGATTTTTTGGATAAGGTATCCTCCGGATAATTCAAATCGAAGCAATTGGATGTTCGACTCGGGCCTATATGACCGATCAATAGAAATACTCCACCTTTGTTATATATTCCATACATCACACTAGATAGATATCATATTCATGGAATACGAATGACTTTCAAGCAAATTCTGATGGAGAAAACATCTCTCATAAATCTTAGCTAGAGCAAACCATATAGAGGTACTGATAATAGGCAAGCATTCTTGATAGAAATTGGCTTGGAAAGGAGACTGAGTTCAGGTAAGAAGGGGGTCAATTTTCGCCATGGGGGACGGTATCCGCTTTTGACTGATGGAAAGCATCTCTCTTTTGTCCCTCCTGACCAAACCCGAAAAATAGAATTCAGTGAACTATTGAAGCTATCAGTGTGATTGATCAGACAAGTACCCTCTTAACGGTCAAAGCGAGCCCCTTCATTCTGAATTAAAGAATGAAGAATGAATCCAATCTCCCCAAGTAGGATTTGAACCTACGACCAATCAGTTAGCTGCTCATCATAAAGGGCGCGGCTCTATATGAGGTTCGTATTGCAGAGCAAGCAAAGAAAACGTAAGGGCGTGCGTTAGCACTCCTGCAAGAAAACGAAAACTAAGTTTCGCCTTTTTCGATATGAGAAATGAGAAAGATGCGCTCAAGCACCCTCATCTGCTTCCTAGCCGGAAAAGAAATACTTTTGAAAGCTAGGAAGAAAAATAGAAGACCGTCCGAGTAGAAAAGAAAGAGCAAGCTGAACTTCTTTATCTACTTGAAAGCTGATGGAAGTACGGCTTTATTCAAGGAAGTGTCCCCTATGATATTCTATTAGTTAAGAGTCCTTGGATTCGTCTCAGCAGGATTATCAGGCACTCTAAGAAAAAAAACTAGCGTTGAAGAGGTTTTCGGAGGCTGACAAAGTGACGTCGACCAACGTCTCTGTGGAATAGTCGGAGAGAAGGAATAGACCTAGGAAGGAAAGAAAGCCCCTCGATACAAAGGAATTGTCCCCGTGCAGCAGGTAAGGTAATCGGAAAATTTATCAAGGGGGGTTTTTTAGAATAAACGCTATACATGAAAAGGAAAAACCTAAAAGAAGAATCCTTTAATGCCCTATCAATGGAAAACTCACCTCCAAGGAGTCGAATGTCCTGCTTCATATATTTGATCACTTCTTCTTTCTTTTTATCTTCCTTTAGGTTCTCTAAATTAATAGATCCATGGTCAAAGGTACCTTTATTTCCTAACTCAGGGCATAGATTCTTTGCTAGATCGTCGAGACTACCCGGAAGTCAAGTAAGGGAGTCTCGGAACCTGAATAACACACGCTTTTTGTAATAGACAACAATTTCCAATATTTGACGGTTTCTTATAAGAGGTTTTACTTCATATCTCTTATATTCTTTATGACACACAATGAAGTGTTTCAGAATGAAAACTCCATCGAATTTTGTGGGTTCTTCCAGCTCGTAAGCAATTGAAGCGATATCCTTCAGGAGTTTCTAACTCTCGTGACAAGAGTGTTAATTGCTGCCGAAATGGGGCAACTGCAAAATGAAATTCAAGAACACCGTAGGGTGCTAAACTCTGCCGTCGTTTCAGTGACTTATGGGGCTTCCCTCAGCTCAGTCTTTTTGGTTCTTAAGAAGGGTCGCTACCTCTCCCAGGACCAGAATGATTACCCCTTCTCGATGGGTCTACATCCATCCCTGAATGTCGTCGGGTACTATTCACTTCCCCGCCATTCTTGTAACCGTCACCTGTAATCCGCGCAGGTGTGTCCGCACCCCCCTGAGTGGACGAGAAAGAAAGGATTTCTCGGAGCAACCCCCCAGGTTCCAGACCCAGGAGTCAACTTTCCCGTATGAGCATTCGGTACAGTTCTGGCAAACGGATCACAATTACAGGTACCTGAGAGTCTTCGAATAAGGATTGAAAGATTTATAACATCCAGGAGCATGCTTTGGGTTTACCACTATAAGAACTAGCTGGCTCTCTTTCTTTTTCTTACTTATAAAAAGATCTAGTCAAGGATTGCATCAACCAGATGTTGAGAATGTGGCTAGCTGGATAAATTTGGAAACAAATTTGTTAAACAGCTCCGCTTCGAGAGTCATGATCTCCTGGCCCGCGAACATAGGGACGCTTTTTTGCGAGTTTTTAGTGCAATATGGGAGAATCATTCTGAACTGAATCCCGGATTAAATCCCGAGGATGCTGTCAAGGAATTTTTGATAAAATTCGCTGGTGATAGAAGAGAAGGAAGGAAATTAAAGTTTCCATTTTGAATTAGGTCTATAGTTGCTAGTTGCTTCACCCCAATATGTTGATTCAAGCAGGAGTAGGAGAAATAATTCAAAAAAAAAATATAGAATAGATTCGGGGTCTTAGTAATCATTTGATAAAGTATATTCTTCAACCTTTTTGGAGTGGGGGTTCGATGGAAGAATTCTTAGAACAACACAACACAGTCAAAGATCAAAGAAAGAACTTTTTCGTCCTCTGTAAAGAATTCTTCTAAAAATTCTGAACCTAATCTTTTCAAAAAAGCACGTACGCGAATTACCTAGTGCTAAAGAGTATCTTCAAGGTAAATTTAAAGTGGATAAGAGTAGTGATACACCTTCAAGGATTAAGATCATCCCTAAATCAAATGATGATAATGCAAATGATGATAATGCAAAAGGTTATAAGAATATACTTTCTCCTGAAGACCGAAGAATGTCGGATGTAAGAAGGTAGGGAGTGAAGTAGGTCATCACTATCAGTAGTCACGCAAAAAGAAGCAACGACGCCTTTTGGCGAAGGGTCTTCCAAGCCCTAAGATCGCGGAGTGCTGCACGCTTCATTAATAGTTTCTGGTTTCAGGAGAAAGACGTAGGAGGTCGTACATCAAAATGATGGCAGGAATAGAATTGAGGCACCAGGTCATAGTCGAACGATTCGTTCAGACTAGGTGGATTGCTCCCTCTGGCGAGCAATTCAATTAAGTAATTAGTTAGTCTATCAACCATCAATTGTTTCTTATGATTCTAGGGGTACGGAGTCGTACTCTCATATCTGATTTCACGCTAGATGCTGGGATGGGATTCGTATCTGTCTGTCTGTTCTTTCCGTGTAGTGGTGTAATCCTCTCCAATTTTGTAAGGAAGTATGAAAAGTAGGCCCAAACGTTTGGTCTTTCCGTTCATTTTTCAAAATCCTTCAATTGGGACACGCAAGAAATAGGCCAATTCAGCCGCCTTTTGTTCCATTTCTCGTGGAGTCAAATTCTCATCAGTACGAGTTAAAGGAATGGCTCCGGTCCTAGGGATGGGACTTTCAGGCCAAGTGCAGATTCGTCGAAATCGAAGGATTGCCTCTTATTTGCTAAGGTTGGCGAATCAAACAGCCTCAATCAAGGTCTCGGCACAAAAGAAAAGGCAGGGCGACATAAATCATGTATGTATAGTAGTTGTAGAGATCTACCCGCTCATATGAGTTCCGTGAACAACAAAAATCAGGGCAGTAGGTGCCTATGACCCCTTAGCGGGGTCTCTTACACGGGAATCGAATACGGATAGCTCGCATCAACAATAGAAGTGCTCACGCCCAACCAAAATGAATCTTCCTCCCTCCCCCGAGAGAATTTCTTTTTCCTTGGGTGTTAAGACATCTTTATATTCAAGAGCATCCGCCACCACTTCATCCCGAACTCACCTACGAACCTCGAATATGGGCCTCCGCCATAACCAACCGTTTACGTCGGCGACCAAATTGTGCTTTTCTTTTGCTCAGCCTAGAATTTATGCGGATCCAACTTAGCCATGCGATCGATAATACCTCTCTTTACCATTATTATCGCATCAACTTCAGCGTCGTTGACTTCCATTTTAGGAGAAAAAGTAGCAAGCCGATGCGAGATTTTTTGGTGTTGAATTTCCCAAAAAGGATCCTCACATGGAGCGGGAAAGGAAAGCGCAAAGAATGTTGTTCGCCCCTTCCCTTATAGTAATAAGGCAAGCGCTTCGCCCCTCTTCCTTTTCGGAATCTGTGAGAACACTCTCAAGATCTTGAAAGCAGAATCTAAATATAGAAGAACCAGCACTTAAAGGGCGCAACCAACGGAAGGTTCTCCCCCTGTCCCAGGCATTGTTCTCCGACGATGTCCCCTGGACGGAAGGGGCCACCGGTTTGAATGTGGGGGCTGTTCTTATTTTACCTGAAGGGTTTGAATTAGCGTAAAAAGAAGCCTTCTTTTTCTTGTAAAAAAGTAAAGGCAAATAAAACTATGTTTGAGGACAGACTCTGGAAGAGAATACACATCACAAGAGTTAGTGCTTACTTGAAAAGCACAGGATTCGCAGACAGTTTGCGTGCTCTTATACTACACAGCAGAACGAAGTCGTAGAGAAGAAGAGTCGTCATCTTATCTTAGCGAAACTGCATGATGAATGCGAAGAATGTGGAGCCAGGCCGAATGCACGAGTACACCGAAAAAGAACGGGAACTGACTCGATCTATTCTATGGCGAAGCATCCAAAGCATAACTGCACACTCACACGATCTTTGCCGAGAGATAACATAGATGTCTTCTCTGGCAATAGCCAAAAAAGAATAGGACAAAGGTCTATACTCAAATCTGAAGTCAAGGCGCTGTCAAGCGTGATATGGGGCTCTTATTCG